TTATCCCATCATCTGACTGTCCCTGCACTCGCATGCACCCAGCACCCTGTGCCCATCTATTGCACCGTCTTTTTCCCACCATCCGGCTGTCCCCACACCCAGATGGTGCCCACAGCACTCTGTGCCCGTTTATCCCACTGCCTAACGGTCCCTACACCCACGTGCACACAGCACCCCGTGCCCATCTACGCCACCATCCGACTCTCCTTACAGCCGGATGGTGCTCACGGCCCCTCATGCCCATTGATCCTACTGTCCGACTGTCCCTACACCCATGTGCACATAGCACCCCAGCCCCATCCACGCCGCGGGTGACGCACATCCCACCCCACACTTGCCTACCCCACCCTCTTGCTGTCTCTACACCCACCCTGTGCACACACAGCACCGCCCCGTCTAACCCACTGCCCGCCGGTCTGTATCCCGGCCTGGTGTCCAGCCTTGCAGCTGGCACACAGCTGGCACACAGGCAGATGCCTGCTCCCAGCCTGGCCTCCAGATGTGCTGGAGGTTTCCCCATGACCTCACCCCAGAAGGGCCCCAGTATGCTAATGGGGACCCACTGGCATGGCCTTTGATAAGGCTCCCCATTATCCTAATGACACCTCATGGCCATGTTCCCCCCCATGGCAACCAGCAGCCAGTGATGCGACTGTTATACTAACGAGATGCTAATGAGCACCCAGTGATATGACCTTTATGCCCCACTGATATGCTAATGAAGACCTATTGACAGGGGTCTTATGTGGGGGGAGAGGAGGGGATGTGAGTGGACCAGAAGGGCCAGGAGAAGACCAGGCCGCCTGCCTCAGTTTCCCCAACATGCAGCACAGCCCCACAGAGCATCCCCGTGACCCAAGGGAGACTCCAGTCAGACCCCAGCTCCAGGCCGGGCAGGGGGTCCTGCCCCAGAACCCCCCACTCAGCCCTGGGGCAGGGAGGAGGGGGGGCTGCCCACGCTGCCCCAAAGCCAGTTGAGCCCTGCCCCTCCCCCGCAGCCCCTGGGAGCCCCCCATCCCCCAGCCCTAATGGATGCTAATGGCTTTTCGGGATCAGGTCTTCCATTAGGCTTCGCAGCCTCTTCCCCCCCCCCCAGCCCCCAACCCTGGGCGGGGGAGGGGAGGGATGGAGCCGGCTTCCCCTTCCCCCACGGCTCCTATGGTCCAGCGGGCACAGATGGGCAGCGCCAGGGACTCGCCAGCCGCATCTGCCAGGCCTGGGCTTGGTGTGGGGGAGGGAGTTGGGGGGGCTCCCATCTCCCACCCCACAGCATCTCAGCTGCTTCCCCATACCCCCCACTCCAGGCTTTGTGCCCCCAGCATCCCCCAGCCCAGGTCTGTGCTGCGGGGCCTCAGCTGGGGACAGGGGAGGGGGTCTTTGCAAAGCTGGGGCTAGGCATACAGCAGCCCCCCACCCCCCTCACTGAGCAGCCCTGGGTGGGGGGACCTGCTCTGGAGCCCCCAGCCCACGAGGGGAGGGGAGGGCTTTACTGGGTAACCATGAAAACCCAGGTTCAAATCCCAGCTTGGCCTGAAGCAGAGTCAAGCTGAGCCACTGCGGGGGTTAGAGCCCCCCAGGCAGCTTCTCAGGCCTGGGGGTCCTCTCTATGGATGCCCCAAAATGGCCTGGGGTTCACCTCCCTGCTAAAGGGAACCTGCTCCAGATGCAGACAACACACGTCAGGGCCTAGAGGACCCCCCCACCTCTGCCACAGCAGCTCCTAGTGTCCCCCACCCCCAGCATGAGGGAAACTGAGGCAGGGAGGGGCAAAGGGACATGGCCATGGCCATTGTATCGCACCGGGGGAGCCACGAATATCTTTGGGACCATCTACACAGAGCAGGCCGCAGCAGGGACCACCCCCTCCCCCAACTAGGCTGTAGTAAAGGGGATGGGGAGGTTTCAGCCCTGGCAGGGACCCCCCCACTATGCCTAGGGCTCCAAGAGCCCTGCCTTCCCACCCCAGCTGGCACCGGTCATGGGCCAAGCCCCTCCGTGGTCCAGCCAGGTCGATCCCTGTATCCTGGCAGCTGTGGTTCCCGGGGTGCAGCAGGGAAACTGAGGCACGCCAGCCTGAGCCCGCTGGCTGGAGGTGGGGAGTCTGGCGGATCCGGCACACCTCGATCCCACCTCCTGCCCCCGCCGGGCACATAGGTCCCCCCAGAAACACAGCCCGCAAGCCAGGTCCAGGCCTGAGAGGCGGCTGAAGTCCCGCTCTGCCCCTGCCCCCTGCTCGCACGCCGCGGGATGCCCCTGAAGCCCGTGCATGCAGACACACATGTGTGCACAGACACCTGCCTGCCCACACGTGTGCGCAGGCCGCAGCTGCACACGCAAGCATGGAGCACGTCTTCGCCGCTCGCACTACGTGTCCCAGCATCCTTTGCAGGACGAAGAGGGGGGTCTATCTGGGAGAATGGAGCCTGCGGGGTGGGAGCAGTGAGGGGCCCCGGCCGCCCCCCAGCCCTGCAGGCCACGGGGCCCCCCGACTTGGCCCTGGGCAGCCCCCCCCACCCCTTCCAACCCCCAAACATGACCCCTAGGGCCCCCGCCCAGAC